GCTTTTTTTTATCTGCACACAGGTTCTTTCCCACCGCCTTTTGCATTAGACCCAGCTTTGCTCATTGGAAACTCTTCCTTTCAAGAGGTTGCCACTTTTCTAAGCAAGCAAGGCTCTTCTGCATTAAACTACTGAACAAAAAAAAAAATTGAAGAAATCCCACAAAGGGAATTTTCTTCCTCGTTGCATTTGCTGCCTTTTCTAGCTGGGAATAGCTGTACCAGTTGGTTCCATAACTTGTCCCAATTAATATTTTTAGTTCGGGAATTTGGACCAGTTTTCTAACTCTTCAAAGGCATCCCCACATTCGAGTGCATTGCAGTAATCCAAATCGGATATGATCAAGACGTGTGTCACCGTGGCCAGAGCCAGCACCTCAAGGAATTGGTGCAGTTGGTGCTAAAGCTATGAATGCGCAAAAGCACTTCTGGCCACCCCACATACTTAGCCTTCCAGCATCAAAATTAAATCCAAGGGTAGCCCCAACTAACACAAGTTGAATCTATATCACACAAACTGACTTATGTCTAACCGGGGTGTAGCTACACTGTAGAATGAATGCAGTTTGGCACCTATGATGGAACTGTATAAGTCTCAGCTACTTTTGTTAGGCTGCCTCACACACTGTGAAATTAGTTACTTTTTTGTTAGTTTTATGAGAGTGGAGTTCTAGAAAACCTTTCCTGGTTTGGATCAATACTTTTGCCCGGGGAAAGGGAGCCATCTTTAGTTCAGGGCAGTGGTTCCCAACCTGTGGTATGTGGACTGTCAGTGACATCGGCAGCACAGCAAGGCAGGAACAGATCAATCACAGCCACCTTAGGCTATAAACTACTTTATTTTACAGCTATATACATTAAAAAAGTGGTTCTCAACTTGGGGCCCCCAGATGTTTTTGGCCTACAACTCCCAGAAATCCCAGACAGTTTACCAGCTGTTAGGATTTCTGGGAGTTGAAGGCCAAAAACATCTGGGGACCCCAGGTTGAGAACCACTGCATTAAAAGCTACTTAACACTCAGCAGATTGTAAACTTGCTTCTTTACCATCCGACCGTAACGTCGCCAACGCACAAACTGCTATCAGTACTAGTCCACACCTCTTGCATTCCAGAGTGACCTATGACGTACAACGCACGCACAACGCATCCATTTGTTCTATACACTTGATTTATGACCTCTCTAGGAATGCCGTTCCCTCCATGGTTCAGTTAACTCTTTCCATACAGGAATACATTACACTCGGCACATAGCTACTGCATTTTAAACATATATACATACATATTTTGAAATCTACATTATAAATTGCAAACAGCTTCAACATGGACCAGCAGTGGTCCGCAAGAATTAAAATATGGTCCACGACCTCATCATTACTACACCATTGCAACAAGAGCAACTGGTCTCACGAAACCCTCTTGTGGTGCCGAGGCTTATTATATATGGTTTTCTATGGGTGAGCAGATGATGACTACTGGATGGCATATGTTCTGTATCAGAAACTAGAGCTGATGTGGTCTATCCAATGCAATTTTCTGAATCAGCACCCCAAATAACCAAACCAAATCTAAAGTTGACCAAAAACTGATTTGTAACCCTTTTGGTACTAATGTTGGAGAGTGGTCCCCTGGTCAAAGTGGTCCCTGGTCAAAAAAAGGTTGGGACCTTTAGTTTAAAGTTATTACCACCAGGGTATCTTAGAAGCAAGATGTGTCTATAGTTGCTCCCAGTGAGATCCAGGCTTGGACAAGCCATTTCAAGCCAATAATGAACTGACTAATCTGGGAACTCATCCAGCTATACTGGTCTACCTCTGGTCAGTGACAGCCAGTGGAGTTTCCAATACCTACAGCAAAGTGCCAGGCCTCAATAGGAGGGACTTGCTCTCTTTACCCCCGGCCTGATTACCTTGGGCATTGGGCATCCCAGAGAATTGTGCTTTCCAGAGAAAGCAAGCAAGGGAAACTTCCATCTTTTGTCTCCAGAATCATTCACAATCAGCAACTTCAAGAACAACCAGTTAGCTTTAAACTTTAAGTATGGCCTTTGTTGTGGGAAAATCCAATGCCTGGGTGGAGATAGACACAAGATTAATTAATAAATCGTTATCGTTTCTTGAAACGTTTATTCTGTGGGGTTCCTTGCTCTAACAGCAAGGCAATCCAGCATTCCCCCAAGCTGATAGAAAGTCAGGACATGTTAACGCTAAAGACATTTAAAGCAGCTTGGGTGCGACAGCACAGCACCAATTTAACTATCATGGCTCAATGCTGTAGAATCCAGCACTCTTTGGCAGAAAATGCGAAAAACTTCATAAAACTACAACTCGCATGATTTCATAGCACTGAGCCACAGCAGTTCAAATGGTATCAAATTGGGTTAAGTCTGCAGTGTAGATGTCCTGAGTCGCCTACAGGCTGAGAGGGGTGGTATACAAATATAGTAAAGAATAAGTAAACAGTAACTCTGTCTTGTCTTGCCCCTTTCCAGCCCATTCTTGACAACAGAGACCGGTTTAGGACCAACGCAGCCTCCTTGGATTGGGCTGGAAAGAAGTAGTAGAGTATCACTTTCATATTGATGACACCACACCCCAGAACATCAGATGGCCTCTCCCAGAGTCCTGGAATATGCATCGGTTGTGGTATGTTGCTTTCCAGTGTAGGCGAAGCAGAACATAACTCTGCCAGCTGATATGTACAGTATGCAAAAATGACACAGGATCTTCTCATTCCTAATTCTAATTGACACCCAGGGGATACAGAACGAAAATTCCATTGCTCTCCAAGGGAAACATCAAGGCAATACACCAATACAAATTATTGTATTTAATCATCTGATTTTATGTATTTATTTGTTTGCCCTATATGTGAAAGTCTCTATCTTCACTTATCTCACTCAACAACATCATACAGAGTAAAATAGAGGGGCTCTTTCAAAGTACAGTATGTAGTTAACACATTTTGTATCCCATTGAACTGCTGTGGGTCTGCCCTGCAGCATCCTGGGCTTTGTACTTTGAGAAAGCACTGGTCTCGGGGTTTCTAAATTGTCCTCCCAAAATCTGAAAGTCCCGGACTTCCACTGGATGGAAACAGAGGCGAATGTAGAAATATAGTGCTAAAGGTTCTGTAGTGTGAATGTGCTCTCAAACCAAAACAATACAGTAGAGTCTCACTTATCTGACCTTCACTTATCCAACATTCCGTCTTATCCAACGCTCTTATCCGACAACCCCCTTTTCCTCCAGCATTTCCCTTTCAAGCAAAGGAGCGCTCCCCAACGTTCTCTCCATTCCCAACAAGTGAAAAAAGCAAGACAAGGAGGAAGTGGGAGAGGAAAGGGGGAAAAGAAGCAGGATTGGAAGTGGAAGCATTCTTCCCTCCTTCTCTCTGTGACTCCTCTTTGGCATCCAGGCACTTCTTGCTGGGCCCTGCTAGCCCTGAGGCGTTGCTTTGCCTTAACTCTTTGAGTCCCTGTTGTTAGTTTTCTAGGTGTCTAGCGCCACGTCAGACAGGTAACAGTAGGAGACCCCGTATTATCCAGCATTTTTGTTTATCCGACATTTTCCCAGCCCATTTCTGTCAGATAAGCGATACTCTACTGTACATGGAAATGGACAAGGAAGCTTATTCAAGACATGTGTGGCGTCTTGGAGGTAGAGGCAGTAATTATCTGGCAACTCCAAGGCACTGGGAACTCAAAAGTTTACACAATTTTTATTTTATTGTTTTTCCTTTTAGAAGTTTTTTTTCCAAAAAAATATTTTATTGTTATTTACAGTTCAGTTGGCTTCAAGCCTGTGGCAACCCAATCAATAAGAGACTCCCCAGAGGTGCCATCTTCAACAGCCCTGCCAAGTCTTTGCAAACTCAGAGAAGGTGTCCCTGTCCATCCAATGGTCCATGTTGTCCTCTTTTCTTAATGCATCTTTTAATAAAGAGCCTTCCTACTATGGACTTTGTTTTTATTCTTGTGGATCAACACAGCCACCGTTGTTCTGGGTATGGGGTCTTTGGTCTGCTTTCAGTATTTTCACAAAGCGCAGGAGTTCCTCTTGGCAGTGTTTGGGCACACTCAAAAAAGATTTCTATGCCACTTTTTAAGGGGCTCAACTACTCAAAACAATTTACAGAACATTAAATAATTCAGTCTTAAGGATTCATACAATACAAAAACATAAACCAAAAATCCCGAGTTAGTAAAACAGTCTTCTGTTAATATTAAACACAAGCATACAGTGTGTGGAGATGGACTGGAAAAGGTATAGGGCCTAAGAGTCACAACTCCAGTAAGTAGGAGGCATCTTGCAGTCAAAGGCAATGCTGTTGGGGCATGTAAAAAATCAGTTTGTGAGTGTGTTAACTGAAAAATACAAAGCATTAAGCTAATTGGTTGGGCCACACCCAGATGCTAGCTGAGACTAGGAGTTTTGGCAACAGTAACATGTTTAAGTTTTCTATGCAGGAGCTGTGCAGGGACAGAGACAGTCAATTTGTATTTTTGCTTCTTGGCTGCTGGAAGAAGAACTCTCACATGTACACCTATGGACCATTTGAATTTCTCTAAAAGGGCATTGTGTGAGTCAATGCATTTTTTTCTCATAATTGTATATATATTGCTCTGCATTACAAAGATATTCCTGCTTCTTGGCAGGGGGTTGGACTGGATGGCCCATGAGGTCTCTTCCAACTCTTTGATTCTATGATTCTATAAGTAAGCTCCTTATTCTTTACTGGTCATCTGCGTGGCATACTTTTCCTCTGGCAAGTCAGTGTGTGGATTGGTGGCAATGTGAACTACCCATGGTTTTCTATTCCACCAAAAATGTCCCACGGCAAATATCTGCCTACAGGAGCCAGGTGGACTGGTATGTTAGACCTTACTCAAGGACTAGAGAAGAAGCAGGGTTGTCCACCATTCCTGGAGCTTCAATGTCGTTAAAATAAATAAGACCTGCAGCTCCCAGAATCCCCTCACCCAGAGGTTCTCAACCTGTGGGTCTCAAGATGTTTTGACCTTCAACTCCCAGCTGGTAAACTGGCTGGGATTTTTGGGAGTTGTAGGCCAAAACACCTGGAGACCCACAGGTTGAGAACCACTGCCCTAACCAGTAAGGTTTGTGGCCCTTCCAACTGAGGAATTCTGGGAACAGTGGTACAATATTTAACCCCACTTCAATAGGTGAGATTCTGGAGCCTTAGCCAAGATGTCTAACTGTTTCTTCAACCCTCAGAGAGGTCCATTGCCCACTTGGTGGGAGCCGTTGTTCCCTCCCCCTTCGGCCCCATTCTGCTGCCTCTGCACCAGCTGCCAATAGGTCCCCTTCCTCTCCATGAGTTCCTGGTGGGTCCCCTTCTCCTTGATCTCCCCCTCCTCCAGGACCAGGATGAGATCCGCACGTTCCACGCTGTGCAGGCGGTGAGAGATGAGCAGCACGGAGCGCCTCCCACGAGCCTCCCCTTCGTAGATCTCCCTCTCCACCTGGGAAGGAGAAATTGAATCACTCCTATTACATCCTCCACAACCACAGCCTCATTTTCCCTACTAATTGCACTGCATAGAACAATAAAACCCACAAAGGGAACATGTTCATATTCTGCCTAGTTACCCCTAAAGTTAATCCGAAACCCATTACAGGTTTTGGACCTGTGTGGAAGGGCCCTGAGAAAGTGTGACTTGCCCAAAGGTACTGGTGGGTGGAGGTTTCCATGGCTGAGTAAGGATTTGAACTCTAGTCCCTAATTCCAAGTCTCATACCCAAGCCACAACATCCTGCCGGTTCTTTCTGTGCAGGGTGCTTATCACATTCAAACATTAGGTAATTTCTGCAGAGAGATACTTGCATTTTTTTCTGTGCAAAAGCATATGTACAATTTTATTGTATTCAGATACAAAAGCATGCATCGTGATCCATTTTCTCCACAGTAAACATCTTGCTTATATCTCTCCCCCCCCCCACACACACACACATTTTTTTGCATAGAATGATTTTCCCAGGACATTTGGAGTTATTCAAATACTGAAAAGTTACTTTGCAAAAGTCTTGCCACCACACTATTCTTCCTGATATGGTTTTCCAAGTATTAAACAACATCTTTCTCAAGAAATAAGGAAGAATATCTGTTTCCCCTAAAAAAGGCTCAAGAGCAAGGGTAGTTCAGGGACTCACAAAAACAGGACGATTGCACAATGCCCACTTCCTCTCTCTGCCAATGCCTCCCACACCCAACTCACCTCCCTCTGGCTCTCCGTGTCCAGGGCACTGGTGGCATCATCCAGGATCAGCACTCTGGGGTCTCGGATCAAGGCTCGGGCGAGAGCGACCCCCTGCCGCTGCCCTCCAGAGATCTGGCCCCCTGTTTGCCCAGCATCTGAAGAAAGGAAGGCAAAGGAAGGTGATTTCAGATCACTACTTCAAATCCATTCTCTGGCTGCATCCCAGAAGAAGCATCTGGGGCTGAGATTTTGAACGAAGCAGTGGAGCATAACATTTCACTCACATCATGTCCATGCCGTAGTCAGAGGCGGCCCTAGGTAATTTTCAATGGTAAGCAAACAGTATTTTGGTGGGCCCCAACCAATCATTGATATATATTTTCTGTTCGTCGTGGGAGGTCTGTGTGCCATATTTGGTTCAATTCCATCATTGGTGGAGTTCAGAATGCTCTTTGATTGTAGGTGAACTATACATCCCAGTAACTACACTTGCCGCACTTGCTCCCTTGCCTGGCCCGCTTTGGGTCCGGAGGCGTGCCTGAAGACCCCGGTGTGCACCAAAAGTCACCTCTTCTCCTGACTTTCTCCTCAGCCATTGGGACCGAGAGAGAGAGAGAGAGAGAGAGACAGAGGTGGAGATGCCCACCTTTCCTGAAGGTAGGCGCAAAAACAAAGGAGGGAGCGGAGGAGGGAGATACCTCCAGCCGGAGGGTCTCTCTCTCTCTCTCTCTTGGTCCCAATGGCTGAAGAGAAAGTCAGGAGAAAAGGCAACTTTTGGTGCGCAAGCTGGGGTCTTCAGACACACCTCCGGACCCAAAGCGGGCCACGCGCAGTGGCTCCGCCCCTCGGCCCACCTGCGGATTGGGGAGAGGAGAGGAGGCGGGTGGAGCGCCGGGGGATCGGGAAAGGGAAAGGATTGAACTCGGAGAACGATTGAGCGCCGGCTCTGCTCACGCACCCGGTGGCCGGGTGGAGAAGGAACGAGAGGGGCTAGGCGAGGCTCAAGGGCCCGGCCCCTTTGGGAAGAGGATCGCCCGGCAGCGAGGCAAGAAAGCCGAGGCTCCCCCCAGACTGCTAGGGCTGTTGTGAGCTGAGGGGGCGCTCCTCAAGTGGCAGTCGAGGGGCATTTACAGAGGCGCCTCTGCGCCCCTGGCAAAAAAAAGTGTTCTGCGACCGCTTACTTCGCGTAATGGACGAGCCGCCCCTGGCCAGTAGTTCAAATGTCTGGCACCAAATCTTCTCATGGCCAATTATGGGATCTTTTTTTTAAAAAAAAAGGGGGGAGGGGGGGAAATACTAGTATCCAGGTACTCCACCACTATGCTAGAGGTAGAGTCTATTTTGTGACTAGTTGGGGACAGGATGGACCAAAGGGTGGATGGATGGGAGGGAAGGGGAGCACCTACCTGTTTCATAGCCATGGCTCAGTCGGGTAACAAACCGGTGGGCTCCCACTCGGCGGGCTACCTGTGCCACTTCCTCCTGGCTCTTCTCACTCAAGCCATAAGCAATGTTCCCATGTAATGACCGAGCAAAAAGCACCGGGCTCTGGCTCACCAGGGCTACCTGCAGAAGAGGGAAAAGGATATGGAGGGCTGCTTTAATTTCCAGATCAATAGCAGGAAAGTCCCAGCCATGGGCGTGGATGCAGGAAGTGACTCTAAATCAGTGGTTCCCATCCTCTGGGCCTCTAGAGGGTTTTGGACTTCAACTCCCAGAAATCCTGGTCAGCTTACCAGCTGCTAGGAACTTTGGGAGTTGAAGTCCAAAACACCTGAAGGCCCAAAGGTTGGGAACAACTGCTCACCATAGAATTAGACTGGAAGTCATAGAAATGCCCCGAGGAACCATTTTGTTTCCAGTTACATGTAGGAGCAATCTGTAAAAAATCAAATCTATGGATGTTTAACCCATCAATATAGATGGACCACTGGAGGCATATGGCAAGTTCAGAGAAGAGCAAAAAGGATGGTAAGAGATACAGAGAACAAAATATACAAGGATAGTTTGAGATAGTTGGGCATGTTCAGCCTGGTGCAAAGAAGATGGGATAAGAGGCAGAGTTGAATTGGACATTCAAGTCACGATCCCACCTGCATCGCAAGTGCGTTTGGTGGGAATGAGGGACAGGGCCTTCTCTGTGGTGGCCCCTCAAGTCTGGAACTCTCTCCCCAAGGACATCAGACAAGCCCCAACGTTTAGAAAGAACCTGAAGACCTGGCTGTTCCAGTGTGCCTTTCCAGATTAGGAAACTCCAGGCATCATGTCCCAAATGCACTTTGTTAGAGACTAGGATTGTCTGCACATTGCACCTACTTCCAAAAAACCTCTACATACCTCCTGTCAAGTTCAGCCCTTTTAAATTTTATCCATTACATTTGGCCTGGCCTTTAGGTTTTTAAATGCATCATGGTGCCATTGTTTTTAGTGTTTTATTGTTTTGCTTGATGTTTTATTATTTGCTTATGAGTTTCACTGTTATATTTGTATGTTGTTGTTTCTTGGCGGCCTTGGCCATTGTAAGCCGCATCGAGTCCTTCGGGAGGTTTTTGCGGGGTATAAATAAAGATAATAATAATAATAGAAGGAACTTCTTGATGATAAGAACTATTTATCAATGGAACCAACAATCTAAAGAGGTAGTGGGGTCTCCTTCTGCAGACATCTTCCGAAAGAGCCTCAACAGTCATCTGCTGGGGAATGCTGGAGATCCTGCACTGAGCAGAGGTTGGACTTGAAGGCCCATGAGTCCTTCTTCCAACTCTATAACTCTATTGTAATGCCTTCACATCAGATCTTAAGAGTGAGTTTCCATAAACAAATCACCGAGAGACCTCACTGTGTTTTCACAAGAGGAAAGAAGCCCTTACCTTTTGATGCAGGAAGTGATGCTCATATTCGCTCAGGTTTCTGCCGTCCAGCAACACTTGACCTTTCTGGGGCTCATAGAACCGTTCCAAGAGGGCCACAATGGTGCTCTTCCCAGACCCCGACGGGCCCACCAGGGCAGTCACCGTCCCAGGATGCAGCTCCAGGGACACCCCCTGAGGAGAAGGGACAAGGTGAGAATTGGGGAAGGGGGAAGTAATGTCCCATTCCAGGCTCTGGACTTGGTGGTTTCTTTCTGTGATAGATGGCCTTTAGCCATCATGAGAACCACCAAGGACTCCAGGCACAGTTGAATTGCAACTCCCAGCATTTTTACCACTAGCTGGGGCTCCTAGGAGTTTCAGTCCAATAACATCTAAAAGATTGCACTTTGTAATATCTCACTTGTTCCAGTTATTTTATTTTGTATTTATCCCATCTTTTTCCTCAATGGGACCCAAGTTGACTACAATCAAAAATGCATCCATTCCAAGCAGTTTTATAACAATTAAACAACACGTTACATTAAAACATTAATACTTGTTATATAAAATATGAGGAGAATAGTAAAAGTAAGTATAACTCGTCACCCCATTGAAGACCTTTTCAAATAGCCATTGCCCCACATTACCGTGTTTCCCCGAAAATAAGACACTGTCTTATATTTATTTTTCCTCCAGAAGACACAATATGACTTATTTTCAGGGGATGTCTTATTTTTATTAAGTACTAACTTGGGGACCTGGCAGTGTACGGGTTATTTGGGAAAGACATTGTTTGTCTGTGCTCCAAGTTTAGTCTAGATCCAAGGTCAGATGAATTCAGTGGGTATGGGTGAACTACAACTCTCATATGCAAGTCCCATGATCCATCCTCCTCCAAACCACACCACGATGCATAGTGGGTCATGTGGGCTATGTGTGCCAAATTTGGTTTTGATCAGTCATTTGTGTGGGTTGCAGTAGTCTCAGGAAGTGAGTGACGGTATTGCAAGTCCCATGGTACATTCTCCCCCAAACCACAGCAGGATATAGAGTCGGGCTCTGTATACCAAGTTTCGTCATGATCCGTCATTGGTGGGGGTCACAGTGGTCTTGGGAAGTGAGTGAAGGTATTGCAAGTCCCATCATCCATGATCCATCCTCTGCCAAACCACACCAGGATGTAGAGTGGGGCTGCCACATACATAAATACACCACCCGCCCGCCTGCCCCATACAAACTTTGACTTTTATTATAGACTAGCTTGGGGCCCTGGCACTGCCTGGGTTATTAGAGAAAGTGGATAATGGCGGTTCTGTGTGCCAGGTTTGGTCTTTATTGGATAAGGGTCGCATTGTTTTCAGGTACTGCAAGTCCCATCACCCGTGGTCAAGCGTCCTCCAAACTGCACCAGTATGTAGAGTGGGTCATGGGGGCTCTGTGTGCCAAGTTTGGTCTGTATTGGTAATTTTCTGACACAGCCTCAGGCCTTTTCCTTTCCTGTCACCTCAGAATGTTGGAGTTTTGAGGCTGCCCAATCAGAGACCATATGCAAATTGTACCACAGTGGCAGCCAATCAGAACGCTGCCACATACACCTCCCTCCTGTCCCCCCTCCACATACAAACACTGACTTTTATTATATACATAGATAGATATAGATATAGATAGTACAACTATCTGCATTTATGGGATGATCTCTCCGGGCTCAGTAGCAGACCGCTTGATGAAGCTTTTCCCCTCTCCCCTGGTGTTTGTGTCAGGTGAGAGAGACCCACAGACTGATGCTGGTCAGTGCTGGAGAGCAGCAGCTTTACTGGGGTTTGTGGGGGGGGGGGGTGAGAGAGACCCACACTGTTGCTGGTTGGGGCTGGGGGAGAGAGACCCCCAGTACAGAGTAAAATGGCAGCCACAGCTTTACTTCTTTCCCTGAGGACTCACAATACCTAAAGCAGTGTCCTGCTCCTCACTTCACGGAGGAGACTTTTACTTCTACTTTCTATGTCTCCCTCTATGCCTCAGCTTGCAACACGCACAGAATGACTGGGACCTGACAGGGAGAGATGACCTTGTATGCTGCATAGCCACATCTATCACTATGTCTTATTTTGGGGTATTGCTTATATTGTGCAAATGCTTAGAAATCCTACTACATCTTATTTTATGGGTATGAATTATTTTCAGGGAAACAGGGGTACCTTCAAATAGTCTTTCCCCACATTACCTTCAAGACAAGAGAATTGTCCCGGTCAGGATAGGAGAAAGACACCTCCTTCAGCAGTACGTGTCCCTGCAAATCTTTGGGAGCCAAGGTGCCGGAGGGGCTGATCTTGGGCATACGGTCGATGTATTCGAAGACCTTCTCCGAGGAACCAATGGCCTTTTGGACTTTGGGGTAAGAAAAGAGGAGGACCTGGCAGGGAGAAGAACACAGATGCTCTGCAAGGAAGGAAGCATTTGCAATGTTCTCGATGTTCGCTTACAATGTGCTCTACTTCTCAATAGCAACAAAAATACTTAGTTTTCCAACACAAAAAACAACAACCCACCCTTGCAAACCAAGTATGCAGCCTGGCATGAAAAGTGTTGAGGCTGCTCTCTCAAATATCCAAACAAGATTTAATGCTTCATGTAAAAGCACATCCCTCTCATTAGTCTGCAAATTTGCTTTCATCTTCAAGAAATGGTCAAGTGATAATCTACATAAAGGCATTTTTATTTTATTTTTATTTTGGGTTTTTTATGAATACTCCCATTAGAAAATGTATAAAGATGTGGGTGAATTACAATTTCCAGAATTGTTAGTCAATCCTTCCCAAACCCTGCCATTACTTAAAGTTGACCATATTGGGTTTGTGTGCCACGTTTGGCCCAGATCCGACATCAGCTGGGTTCAGTGTTATCTAGATAAGGGTGAACTACAACTCCCAGATTCCCAGGAAAGGGTTGGAAAGGGTTTGCTACAGGAAAGGGCTTGAAAGAGTTAGGGGAGAAGCAGTGGATGGGGTCATGCAAATGAAGAGAGAAAGGAACACTGGGATGTGCTCGCTATAACCTGCAATGTCATTGGAGAGAGTGGCTTACTGGCTTCTCAGCACTGGGAACAATAGACTGTTTGTGGAGACCAGAGGCTGTCGGTGAATGGACACTCCTGCCACATACACACATACAGATTTTCACTTTTATTATGTGTATAGATAATACCTGGGATCACATAAAAATTTGGGCAAAAAGAGGTCATAAGTGGGAAAAGTATAAATAAAAAACCAATGGGAGAAAAAAATGAATGAAGCCAAGAGTGTTTGAGGAGACCAGGACATCCGCAGGGAGACCAAGGTGCTTGTTTATAAAGCTAATGTCTTCCCAACCATGTTATATGCCTGCGAAACGTGGACTGTCTACAGATGTCACGCTCAACTCCTAGAATGATTCCATCAGCGCTGCCTCCAAAAAATCCTGCAAATCTCTTGGGAAGATAGGCAGACAAATGACATCGTGCTGGAAGAAGCAAAGACCACCAGCACTGAAGCGATGGTCCTCTGCCATCAACTCCGCTGGACTGGCCACATTGTCTGAATGCCCAAAGATCACCATCTCCCAAAGCAGCTACTATACTCTCAACTCAAGAACGGAAAGCATAATGTTGGTGGACAGGAAAAGAGATTGAAAGATGGGCTTAAAGCCAACCACAAAAACTGTGGCATAGACACCGAGAATTGGGAAGCCCTGGACGTTGAGTGCTCTAACTGGAGGTCAGTTGTGACCAGCAGTGCTGTGGACTTCAAAGAGGCATGAAGGGAGGGCGAAAGGGAGAAATGTGTCAAGAGGAAGGTGCACCAAGCCAACCCTGACCAGGACTGTCTTCCACCTGGAATCCGATGTCCTCACTGTGGGAGAGCATGCAGATCAAGACTAGGACTCCACAGCCACCTAAGGACCCACCACCAAGACACTACGCTTGGAGGACCATCATCCTTGGACAACAAAGGATCGCCTAAGTAAGTAAGTAAAGTAAGTAAATTGTTAAAGGGCAAAAGCTTGTGGCATATTTATCCATCAGACCTAGTTCGCTGTATGGGTGAACAAGTTTGCCTGCACACAACATGGATTCTGATTACATTCTTCTTCAAAAGGTCCCTCCACCCTGTCCCATTCATTGGCTCACCCGCACTGATGAGGAGAACTCCATCTCATACAGAAGAAAGGTGACAAGTTTGCCACTGGTCACTCGTCCCAGCGTGACGAGCTGGCCACCATAATACAGGATGCCAGCTTTGAGGGCCAGTTCTAAGAGCTGCAGGGCAGAAAATGGAGGTTAGGTCTCAAATACCAGACTTCCACTAAATCCCAGATACTCTTACACCACAATTGTGGGGGAAAGGACACTGCTCTCTATGAGGACCCAGGACGTACATTGCTGGTCCACATGTTGACCGCGTAGGCCCCAGCCTCCTTCTTGCTGAGCTTGAAGGTCTCCTGAAGCTTCTCCTCATAGCTTCGAGCCGCACCATCCTCGTTTGCAAAGCTGCGGACAGTCAAGATGGACTCGAAGTTCTCCACGGCCACCTCGTTGGCTTTTGCCAGAGACTCCTGGACCTCCCGTGCCAAGCGCTGGAAAAGAAGAATCAACGGATCACAACTTGGTCAACCAAAGCATGTGTACATCTGCTATTATCCATGGTTTTGTGTAACTCCAAGAATGAATTCCCCCACTGATTCCACTGTAGGGTGAAGGACCCAGCATGTTGAATCTAAATGACCGCTGTAATTGAAGGCTAACACCACCCGCATGCTTCTGCCTGGGTACCCACCTGGTGAAATTTCCCCGTGAGCTTTGGCAGCAAGAGGATGAAAGGCAAGGCCACAGTGGCAAAGAGAGCCAAGGGTACCGAGAGCCAGAGCATCATGCCGTAGAGGAAGACCCCCCGCATCAGGTACCACATCAGCAAGCTCATATCATGGTTCAGCGCCTCACTCATGGCGTCCGTGTCGGATGTCACTCGGGAAGTGATGTCCCCTGTGGTCAAGGAAAGAAAGGGTCACGCAATAGCAGAGTTAAGATCAGGATGGAGAATGTGATATCTTCATTTCCTCCCTGCCTGCCCTGTTTTCTCTTCATGTTGAGGGTCACCACTATTCCTTATTTATTTATTTTTATTTCATATCAAAAGCATTGCATACATTTGTATAAAACTGATAAAAATAGAAGCAGCACAAGCGACTAAATATCATTTGACCAAAAACAGGCAATAACAATGACATTGTCTGTAGCCTCCAACAATTCTTCCTCTGTACATGAGGCAAGGCACAGTGGACAAGCATACAGATGCGGAGTTGTCTGTTCTTGGGTCTGGAATCCTAGGCCCAAGCAATCCAAACAGGCATCGTTAGCACCTGCTGCATTTAGCAGTATTTTTATACCACCAGTCCAAAGAAGAACAGAAGCTTTTGGCCAGCCTAAGCTTCACAGGAAAGAAGATTAAGACAATGTATTGTCGAAGGCTTTCATGGCTGGAATCACTAGGTTCTTGTAGGTTTTTTCGGGCTATAGGGCCATGTTCTAGAAGCATTTCTCCTGACGTTTCGCCTGCATCTATGGCAAGCATCCTCAGAGGTAGTGACCTCACTACCTCTGAGGATGCTTGCCATAGATGCAGGCGAAACGTCAGGAGAAATGCCTCTAGAACATGGCCCTATAGCCCGAAAAAACCCACAAGAACCTAAGATTAAGACAGTTTATAAGCAATAACTTGTAATCCATCGCTTTGCATCAGATGATTCCAGATAGATCACTGCAACCAGCAAAATCTCTTTTTGTAATGTATTATTTTAAGTTATCTTATGACAGTCCCAGGTGGAGTTAACCCTTTATTCATCTTGTTTTCAGTAAACTCATTTTGGTTATCTTTTCACCTTGCCTAAAGTGCCTCTGTCTGTTAAGCCAGACAATATAGTTTTCCCAAAGGCTCAGACGTGCCATCACAGGGAGATAGGGACAGGATATAAATAAATATAAATATAGAATCATAGAATCAAAGAGTTGGAAGAGCCCTCATGGACCATCCAGTCCAACCCCTGCCAAGAAGCAGGAATATTGCATTCAAATCACCCCTGACAGATGGCCATCCAGCCTCTGTTTAAAAGCTTCCAAAGAAGGAGCCTCCACCACACTCCGGGACAGAGAGTTCCACTGCTGAACGGCTCTCACATTCAGGAAGTTCTTCCTCATGTTCAGATGGAATCTCCTTTCTTGTAGTTTGAAGCCATTGTTTCGTGTCCTAGTCTCCAGGGAAGCAGAAAACAAGCTTGCTCCCTCCTCCCTGTGGCTTCCTCTCACATATTTATACATGGCTATCATATCTCCTTCACTGCCTTCTCTTCTTCAGGCTAAACATGCCCAGCTCCTTAAGCCACTCCTCATAGGACTTGTTCTCCAGATTATTATTATTATTATTATTATTATTATTATTATTATTATTATGAGAAACAGTACTTATTGTTGTTATTTGAAAGGAAACCCTGTTAACAGCTTTCATGCTACTTTAAAAAAAATAGCTACATTATCGGAAGGCATAATACATTTCCTCCAATCCTATTTGTGAGGATTGAGAGAGTTTGATATGAATTTAAGGTGGTGATGGGGGGCCACGAACCAGAGGTCTTACCTGTCCGACTGGCCCGGAAGAAGCTGATCTCTTGACGCAGGATGGAGGCGAAGACCGTGCTCTGGAGGCGGGTGTGGAACTGGTTCATGGTGGTGTTGTAGAGGTAGTCGCAGACAAACTCCGTCACGGCACTGGGGAAAAAGGGAAAGGGGGTGGATCTCTGACCACCAGTGCCCCGATTACATCCCTCCCCGGCATTCACCCAGGCCTCCCACGAATTCTCCTGGACTTGCTTATTACCTGCCCACCGTGAGGACAGTCATCATCCAGAGGGCTTTCTGGAAGGCAGGAGTCCCGGCCTCAGTCACGATCCAGTCAGTCACTCGTCCCGTGTAATACGGGATGGCCATCTCCCCTACAAGACACAAAGGAAGGAGACTCAGGACCCTTGGGGACTTTGCAGGGAGGGGCCAGGTAAATAGGATGCTGGAGCTTTGACCTCCTTTTGCGTTGGAAAAGGGCTACACGGTGGCGTTTACAGGATAATTTCTAATAAGTTATAAATACATAAAAATGAAATGCATGTGTTTACAATGGACTAAACATTCAGTGAAATTGTAAAAAACATCTCGATTAAATGTAATTAAATTCATATTCATTTTGAAGAAATAAACCCCATTCACCTTTGCTTATTGGGGTGCGTGTGTATATATACTTGAGTATAAGCCGACCCGAATATAAGCCAAGACACCTAATTTTTCCACAAAAACTGGGAAAATGTATTGACTTGAGTCTTAGCCGAGGATGGGAAATGCAGCAGCTACTGGTAGATTTCAAAATAGAAATAGATACCATTAAAATTAGATTAAATGAGACATCCATAGGTTAAATGTTTTTGAATCTATATAAATAAAAAATGTATGTTCGTTTGTGGGATTAACATAACTCAAAAACCACTGGGCGAGTTGACACCAAATTTGGACACAAGACACCTATCAGGCCAAGAAGTGACCATCACCCATAAAAGCACTGAAAAACACAGTGGAAGGGACTTTAAAAGCAAAAAAAACCCAAAAATACATTATAATGCATGTGCAAAACACACACACACACACACACACACACACACATATATATATATATACACACACATGCACATATACACAAATATAGACACACATATATACACACATAAAACACATATACACAGACTGGGCCACAGCAACGCGTGGCAGGAGACAGCTAGTATTTTTATAAAACTGTAACTTAAGACTGTCCAACTCTGATTAAACTATTATTCTAGCCTCCTTCAATGTAAATGTGCTTACGTATCCTTCCAATAATAATAAAGAGAGCAAAATAATAAATATAATAATAACAATAATAAATGTAATAATAATGGAGAGTAAAATAAATGTAACTAAAAATAATACGGTAAAATAATGTAACTGTAATAATGTTAATAATAGAGTAAAATAATAAATGTAATAAAATAATAGAGTAATAAATAATAATAATAATAATAATAACAGAGTAAAATAATAAATAACCTTGGCTCGAGTATTAGCTGAGGGAAGCTTTTTCAGCCTAAAAAGGGGCTGAAAAACTATATACAGTTTGTGTGTGTGTGTGTGTGTGTGTGTGTACACATACATATACATATATAATTTCCCAAGTGTTGATGCCCCCAAGGTCTCCACTCACCTAGGGAAGAGGCCACCAGGAGCCCGGCGATGGCCACGAACCGCAGTGCCTCTGGCCTCATGCTGCTCACCAGGCGCCCCAAGGAGGCCGAAGGGGCTCCCTCCTTCTTCTCCTGGTCTCCTCCGTTCTGTGTCGGCCCCTTCAGGTGGTGCCAGAGGAGGGCCACGGCCACCACGGCCCCGTAGTGCAGGGCAAGGACGTCCACTCTGCCCCAGGAGAAGGCCAGCCATGGGGCACCCCCCATGGGGAAGGACAAGGACTGCAGGGTGGCGCAGCAGGGGGGCAGCAGGGCCAGCAGAGCGGCCGAGGGCAGCAGGGCAGAGGCCAGACCAGGGGGCAGGCCTGGCCGAAGGAGCATCGCCCCCAGGGTCAGACCCAGGCCCCGCACAAGAGCCAGGCCCCACAAAGACAGCAGCGGGCCCCACAGGGAGGGCAGGGCCCACCGCTGGGATAGGCCCAGGGACACCATGTCCACCAGCAGGAGAAGCAGCAAGGGGCGCAGCAAGGGGGACATCGTGAAGGAGGGTGCAGGAGAGGCAAGAAGTCCTCTTCCTTCTTCCTTCCTGCTTTCCTTCTTTCCTTACTTCCTTCCTTCTTGCTTTCCTTCCTTCTTGCTTTCCTTCCTTGCTTTTCTTCTTTGCTTGCTTGTTTTCCTTCTTTAACTCCTTCCTTCTTGTTTTCCTTCTATCCTTAGCTCCTTCCTTCTTGCTTTTTTCTTTGCTTGCTTGCTTTTCTTCTCTCCCTCCTTCCTTCCTCTTTGCTTTCCTTCCTTCCTCCTTTTCTCCTTTCCTTCCTTCCTTCTTTTCTCCTTTACTTCCTTCCTTCTTGCTTTTCTTCTTTGCTTGCTTTCCTTCTCTCCCTCCCTCCTTCCTTCTTGCTTTCCTTCCTTCCTTTCTTCTTTACCTTTTTCCTTCCTTCTTGCTTTCCTTCTCTCCTTCCTTCCTCCTTGCTTTCCTTCCTTCCTTTCTCCCTTCCTTCCTTCTTTTCTTCTCTCCCTCCTTCCTTCCTTCTCTTTCTTCTTTTCTTCCTCTCTCCCTCCTTCCTTCTTCTTCTTTCTCTCCTTCCTCCCTTCCTTCTTCTTCTCTTTCCTTCCTTCTTTCCTTCTTCTCCCTCCTTCCTTCCTCCTTGCTTTCCTTCCTCCTTTTCTCCTTTCCTTCCTTCCTTCCTTTCCTTTCCTTCCTTCCTTCTTGCTTTTTCTCCTTTGCTTGCTTTCCTTCTCTCCCTCCTTCCTTCCTCCTTGCTTTCCTTCCTTCTTCTTTAGCTTTTCCCTTCCTTCCTTACCTCCTTCCTTCCTGCTCTTCTTCTTTGCTTGCTTTGCTTTCCTTCTTATCTTCCTTCTTGCTTGTCTTCCTTCCTCAATCAGACAGATCCAAGGCGAGAACGAAGCCCTGCTGCTCCTCTGATCAAAGAGTTCCTTTGACAGCCTCCGACGGGACTTTGTCTTTTGAAAGAGGCGCCGCTGATTGGCTGAGACGCGCAAGAAGCCAAACGAACGGGCGCCCTCTGCCGGCCGCCTCCCGCAGCCGCGCCACAACAAACTAAAGGAAGCGGCGCCTGGGTTTAGTCTGTCTGTCCGAATGGTGAAAAAGGGATCCAAAGGAATGGAAAGTAGAGGAAGTGTAGAAGTCCGACGGATTGACAGATTCCTTATCCGCCCAGCTGGCAAGTCCCTGCCTGGGAAGCCCCTCCGCCGGCTGCCTTCTTCCAGGAGGCGCCCTGCTTTCCGGGAATCCGAAAGTGAAACCGGTTCGCATCAAAAGAGAGGCTTCGAAGGAGGGAGGAGTGGAGGGGAAAGGGGCGGGGAGAGGCAAGGGGAGGCCTCACATGTGTGTGCATGAACATATTGCATGTAGATATATTTATTTGTGTACTAGCCGTCCCCTGCCACGCGTTGCTGTGGCCCAGTCTGGTGATCTGGGAAATAAAGTAATGAGAAAGTGTTGGTTTCTAATATATGTAATTTCTTTATGCTTGTGGGTAAAGAGCATTCCTTGCTGTTTCTTTGTTAGTGTTGATGTGGAGAGTGTCTGGTTTGCCTACCCTGGAACATGCAACATATCATAGTCCTTCTTTAAGGGTCCCTTTCACATCTATGATACTATATCTCTCTGTGTGTGAATCATATCCCTGCTCCATGCCTGCGAAACGTGGACTGTCTACAGACGTCAAATGCAACTCCTGGAATGATTCCATCAGCGCTGCCTCCGGAAAATCCTGCAAATCTCTTGGGAAGACAGGCGGACAAACGTCAGCGGGCTGGAAGAAGCAAAGACTACTAGCATTGAAGCGATGGTCCTCCATCAACTCCACTAGACTGGCCATGTTGTCCGGATGCCCGACCACCGCCTCCCAAAGCAGTTGCTCTACTCCGAACTCAAGAATGGAAAACGGAATGTTGGTGGACAGGAAAAGAGATTTAAAGATGGGCTCAAAGCCAACCTTAAAAACTCTGGCATAGACACAGAGAACTGGGAAGCCCTGGCCCTTGAGCGCTCCAGCTGGAGGTCAGCTGTGACCAGCAGTGCTGTAGAATTTGAAGAGGCACGAATGGAGGGTGAAAGAGAGAAACGTGCCAAGAGGAAGGCGCGTCAAGCCAACCACCGGGACCGCCTTCCACCTGGAAACCAATGCCCTCACTGCGGGAGAAGATGCAGAGCAAGAATAGGGCTCCACAGCCACATACGGACCCACAAGAAAACCCATGATGGAAGACCATCTTACTCGTCCAACGAGGGATCGCCTAGTCAGTGGTTCTCAACCTGGGGTCCCCAGATGTTTTTGGCCTACAACTCCCAGAAATCCCAGCCACTTCACCAGCTGTTAGGATTTCTGGGAGTTGGAGGCCAAAAACATCTGGGGACCCCAGGTTGAGAACCACTGGCCTAAGTAAAGTGAAGGAGGAGGTGGGCTTCGCAGATTCTTTTTGCACGGTCTGCCAAGGCTTTAATGGTGCTTCTTTTTTGACTTGGGTGATGGTTGGAGTTTTGATGTAGATATCTATCTGTGTGTGTGGGTTTTCTGTAAACGGTGTGACCCAATTGTTGATCTGGGACATCTAGAACAAGAGAAGAACTTTTCCTTCTTGTTCCTTCCCTTTATTTCCTTTATCTCTGGCGGCCGCTAGTGGCCAATAGCGGGACTGCAGGAGCTCTCCTGCTTGCTTGCTTCCTTACTCTCGCTTTCGCTCTCTCATTCCGTCTCCTGGCTTCCCACTTCATCCGTTTTCAGAGGGAAAGGGGGCTGCTATGGACCGCCGGGGGCTTCCGAAGATCAACCTGGGGGTGAGTAAGGGGGGCAGGGAAGATGCTTGAGACTGAACCCCTTTCTTCCTGGGAGTCTTGCAGGGAGGTGGAGAGGCTGAGCCATGCAAGGGGGCGCAGAAGTTTTCAGAGGCGAGTCAGTTAGTGGTCCCAAGGCGAATTAAGCCATATCTTATGTCTGATTGCAAGGCAGGGAAGGTATTGAATGCCCCAGATCCAGCACTTCCATCTTGGGCTTTGCAGATGCAGGAAAGCAAAGGTCTTCCTGGTTCTGAAGGAACTTCTGTGTACTGGAGAATTAATACATATTGACACTCTTTGAGCTGCCAAGGCTCAAGGCTATGGAAAGCATGGGAGTTGGGTGAGGCACCAGCCCTGGTAGAACTACACATCACATGATCCCAATGGCATTGATCTCCACTTGACAGTTC